TATTATATATAATATACATCATACATTTTTTTGTTGGCTATCCGGAATCTTTCATAACAAAACTATTTATATGCTGCTAGAGAAATACGACTGACGCATAAGTATAATATATAACTCAAATTGCATTTCGGATGCAAAAGAGGTTGATTTTCAAAGTGGAACGTATAGTAACGTGGTGACTGTAGTCACTTATTTGCATTTTCAAATCGTAATTTGTTTCAATAAAATATTACTGGATAGTACAGTTAACTTTGAAAACAACTATTTACTGCATCAAAAAATTGAATAATCTCAAAATGAAGATAAAACTTTTAGTTTTCACGCATGCATATTACCTGTTCCTCTTGAAGGGATTTGCTTGAGCAAGCGCGCGAAGGACTGTGGGAAGTATCTCACCGATGCTTATTCTAAATTACATACAAGTATATATGTATTCAACTGTGATGCACATGCTGAATACCTGAAGTAATTCAACAGGATAGCAGATTGTTTTTGGTGAATAGAAACGAAGTCATTCAGAATTTTGAAATGAAATGTCGGAGTGAGAAGCCTTCGACGAGATTTCCATTTGTTACCGGTGCTGTAAAAGAAAGTGAATGGATATCTTAACCGCTTTCTTTTAACTAGACGGTAAATTTGAAGGGCTGCATGGTAAAAATGCAGGTAAATTATAAAAGTTTACAATATACATTTTCTCCGTTGACGTCACTATGCCTGAAAGCCTCGCTCTCATGAATTGTATGACCAATCACAATTCACAAACGCTGAAACTAAACCGTGACGTGTTGTTTTCAACTTGTATGTATGTGAATAATTTTGCGAAAATAATAGAACACAATCACGCGTGAATAAATCAATACAACTAACCTGGTTAGAAGACCTGGAAATAAAAATAAAAAGAATATATGGAGTAAATTAAAGACGTCGATATAAAGTACATTCTGTGCATATCTTCTGATCATAACAATTAACTATAAAGAAACATTTCAGGGGGCAGTGCCGCAGTGGTTCGAAAAGCGGTTTAGAGGCGTTTAGTTTTATAAACGAAACCACGAACTATAAACGAAACCACGAACTCAAGAATGATAAAACAAAACAGAAAACAAAATGATCTATCTATTGAACAAACGAGCAGATATATTTCGATTTTCAGTACTAGTTTAATAATTACACACCCCGCCTGCGTATGCGCAGCGGAGTCTTAAAATGCCATGGTCTTTTTTCCTTTTAGTAGTAGTCGTAGTTTTGGGCGACAGAAGTTGGCATTTCTACAGGTAACCCAAAACAACTTCATTTTTGACCGAGAAGCCCCTGGGTTACACGGTCCACGGATGACTTATGTACATCAGTTGGCATGCAGGCGGAGTGAACGCCTTGAGCAGGCGTCTTGTTTTCAATTGAGGTACATATTTTATTGGTTTAATTATTGCATACTAAGGATGTACATAGATATCACCTCCAATGTAGAGTGTGCATGAACAGGAGCTGCCAGGATCAGGTATGAAAATTGCGGCGCCAAGTTGCAATCCGGTATAGTGTAAACGGTGTCAAATTCAGTCTTCACAAGTTGTATGAGAGGTATTTTGTGCATTTAATTATTATCAAATCACCCTATAACGGCACACTACTCGCTTTCTACTTTTTAATTCGTGAAAAAACACGGTATTAAATCCGTAAAACACTTCTTCCGGCGTAGCGCACTTGTTCTGGATTGGGTAAGGGTTGACATGAGAGATTGAACTATGCCATTTTTAATCATCAAATTTTTTCATCCTTCACATTCGGATTATTAATTCTCACACTCACAGAATATGCCAACCTCAACACAACCTTGCCCCACACCACCTTCCAAATTTATTAGGTTCTGCATGTTGATCAATGTTATATATAAATTGCATAGAGGCAAAAAGGTGGTTAATATTAAGTAAGGTTTAAGATAGTTAATATTGGGTTTTCAGGAGGAACCAGCTGCATGCTTGGCACTGAGCAAGAAAGTTTTAAAAATTTCAAGCCTTTAGTTCTTTGGAAGCTGTCTATTTCTAGTATGACTATGATATTCAGAAAGAATGCAGTACTTTTTTGTTCAATATAAAGATTGTGTAGTAATTTGGGCGGTAGTTAACTGCATCACAAATATTGATAGTCACCGGTGATGCCCCTAATTCTTGATCTTTTACAATTTGCTTTCTTTAGGAGGATGCTAGTGCATTCTCCTAGGAGGGTGTAAAATTTTTAAGGGGATGTTAACCTCCTTGCACCCTCCCAATATCTATCCATCCCCACAATGCTTTGCTTATGTTATTTACGAGGGTCATTACCTGTTCCAAGCCATGAATGGAGAAAAATGTAAAGTGGTGTTTTAGTGATGTTTTTCTGACTTGCTAATAATATCTAGTAGAAACATAATTAAAAAATGATAATTAACCCTGAAATACATTGTTGACTTTATAGTCATTATAGCTTCATTTAGACTTATATATACATAATTTTTGGTATGGTACTGAAAAAATGGTACAGATGAGATTTTAAGCTGCCAAATAGTTCTGAAAGCAAAATTTCACCTGTACCAACGAGAAAAAATTAAATTGCCACAGGAAATATGCACAGGAATTGTTAAACAGTACTGGCATGTAGATTAAAAGAACAATTAATACCTCAACATATTCTGGTTTATAAAGAATAACAACAGGAGTTCGTCCTAGCCAGACAGAGAACAATCCATCTGCATAACAATTGTCTACCCAACCTTTAATCTGGGTGAAAAACTCTATTTGAAGTAAAAAAGTTTAAATAATTAGTGAAGCCTAACTAACTTGTACTTGCAATTGACATATACATGTTAACATATATATGTAGATCAAAGCAAGACCAGCAGGTAAAAAAGCAGGTAAAATTAATGCATGTGTTAAGATCTAGTTTAAATTTAATAGTATATATAAACCCCATATTAACGGTTCCAGCTATGATTATTATGCTTATAAATATAATTACCTTGAAAGAGACTTATGCATATATAAATAACATCATATAAATAAATTAACACATTTATAAATGACTGTATCATTCCTGTACAGACGAAACAGACGTAAATGGACGAGCTGGACGTTATATCTACTCTATCTATACGGCAATGAGCGCTCTCTAGTATTTCGTACGTAAACCAAACGTCATTAAATCTTTATTTTTATATATATACAAGTACAAGTTACAAGTAGATTATGTATAAGAGATTAAACCAAAATTATGCAATTTAAAGAGCTTGGTTATTTGCCAAGTCATAATGGCAATTAAAGTACTCGTCATTAAAATTAAAAGCCAGGAAATTGTTACTACTGTTCTATTCGAATCTCCTATGTAAAAAGCTAAAACAAAACATTGGAATCTCATGCATGAATACACTTCATACATACGTACCGTGTGGATCTCTCTTCAACGTCAGTGCGTGGCCAAAGATTGGAGAGGTTTTTACAGGAACAGGAATCAGCCATACCTCATTGCAGAATTGAAAGTGTTTCCACAACCTGATGCATAACAAGGTTAAAATAACACCGAATATTAATACTGCCACCAGCATGTTTCAATCACTGCAGCAGTTCTTCGTGAAGCAAATGTAATCTGACCTTTTATATAAACAAAGAATGATAAATATTACCTTGAATGACCTTCGTGAATATCACCTTCATTGACCTTCCTGAAAACAATACTTTGACCAGTAGTCCAACTAGTTCAACAAGTGTCAACACATATGACATATTAACTGCATTTTCATTAGTTATTCTTACGAACTTGACTAGCCTTTATTCTTGTTTTTCACTGTTGCGAAATGTTTTAAAATGCCCAAATAAGCAAAGCTTTGCACGTTTTGCATACTTTTGTGTTAAGGCCTATTTACACAACGCGATTTGTCGTATACGATTTACGCGTACCCTGGCGTATGTGAACGTATGAATACAACCGTGGCATAGGCCCTCTTTTGCATCCGTCAAAATGATAATTGCATACAACTTATCGTGTAGTTTAAATCAGTTTAATCAGCCACGAATGTGGCAATTTCCGTGGGTAAACACCGTTACCAGAGAATCTTAGCGTTTATTTATCCGAACGAAATTCCATCATGAATGTTTATACTTATGACATTCCTTTTCCAGCTTTCCAGTCAAAAACGGGTATGATTGTTGATCAAACATAGAAACAAGTGAAATACCACGGAATATTTTTAGGTACTGGTTATGCTGCCTGTACCCAGGGAATGGCTTTCTAAAGAGATCTTTTCCGATGGTCTGGCAATTGGTTTTTATTTTGATATTCAAGCGCGGCGAATGTTGTAATCCGATTAACGAATTGCAAGGAAATATTTCCTCGTGCTAGTTACTACAAGAACCTGCTTTCCAAGTGAAAAAATTGTCTGCAGATTCTATTTATTATTCGAATTCTTTCGATTTGTTTTTCGAGAAAGCGAACGCTATACTTCGTATATAGCTACGTATGTTTCGTCATATCCGCGAGCACTTATAGCGACCTACGCCTCCAAAGCATTTCGATCACTCTCAGAGATCTCATTTTTAGCAATCATGAAACCACGGTTAGTGGTTTCCCCGCCTAACCGTGATGAAACACACGATGAGTCACTTCAGTCACCTTGAGTGACCTTCAAGTAAATAACCCTTCACTGAACTTGCTGGAAACAAGATTAAAGTTTACTGGCTATAATAAAACCTATTTGACACGTGACGGTGCATGATTTTGAAAAACCTGACAACTACATACGTGTGTGTCTGGGCAGGCATTAGCTGTGTTGAAGCGAAGTTTGTTTATAACCTCCGCTCCTAGTACCACTCGCTGAAAAAATCTTAAAATATTACGTGCTTTTCTCACAAAAATTGCTCGCAAAAAATAAGTGGAGCAATAGAAAAAATATATGAATCCCTGCTGACCCTGCAATATATGCACCCTCCCAATCAAGCTTCCCTACAGCCCCCCCAAAAATAATGTGCAAAACGTCGGTATAAAATAAACTTTGTTTTCAACACCATAGCAGCTGAAAGACAATTGTATAAACATTTGTTTAATTTAGTCAAACTATGTGTGAATTCTCTTTTAAGAATAAGCACTGGTTGGTTTACATATTTCCTCCTCGTCCAAGGCCTCCTCAAACGTCCACAAATCGCGATGACGGCGCAAAACAGTAATAGCCGCTGTATCTACAGCTGTCGGCTCAACTCCAATATCTTCAAGCATTGGCAGGCCATCAGTAGGGACATCAGTATTGAATTGCTAGATAACGATATACAACAAAAATTGCAATGCCAAATTCGATGTGAACTTATAAATTGACATCAGCCCGCGGCCCTTTTTCAAATTCCAAATGCAAGGAAATTTATTATTAGCAGAAAGAATTGCTTTCTCCCATAACTATACTACAGAAGACAATAGGAAGGAAGGCATGCATTCGGGTCCAATCATAAAGTATTTTATTCAATTCACTCATAGGGTATTTCATTTACAGTACAACAACTTCACACATAGCCACATACATACCCTGAACAACATATCCCGCGTTAAACGAGGATCAAAAATACTTTGTTCAGCAGCCCAGGCAACGATACTAATTCAAGGCAGTGACATAAAACATGAACAATTATCAGTTTGAGCATACACATGTGCATATATTTATCACCCTACAGGGGTAGGGCAGAGGAGGGTGATCCTCAGAATGCTGTGTATAGGCCCCGCATATAAGCCCAAACAACTGGCACTGTCACCAATGGTGACGACTATATTGCAACAATATAGTGTACACCTATGATGTATATCTTAAATCGAAATAGTGAATGTTGTTTTCTGCATAGTGCTAACAAAACTGTATAGCGTTGTCACGAGATTATTTTCCGCGCAAACGAAAGAAAGTCTATGTATGTAAGTGGTACTTAGTAAAGAACAAGGCTTACTTGTACAAAGGTCGAGGTAGCGTATAATGTCTAAACTTCCGTCGGTTCATTCTGTAAATGTAGTCCAACAAATCATACAGGAAATATTCCTTTGGTCTGCAAAGAGAGATAACGTATTAAATGCAAACCTGTTGTTTCATTTCTTAAGCCCCGTAATATGACATTTTTATGAACGCAATTACGTCATAACATGTGATAAATAGTCATATCCAACGGATCCAATATTTGACGTGCCCTCAAGGACGAAGACATCAACGTGTCCCAAGGGAGGAATTGTGAAATCGACACAAATTCGAGCGAATGGAGTTTAATGTTCACTCTTTCAAATAAATATTAAAGTAATTATTGAATTCGTTTTTTAAATGGTATGAAATACGATGCGTAACTTCCTAGACACTTCCCTGAGACACCTCCACGCAAGTGTGTTATTAGGTACAAAGCCAACCCGCTGACATAAGTTCAATCCAGTGAACCGAGCAATATATTTCATGAAAAATAATTACTCACCCAAAAAGTTCATAAGTACTCCCTAGTTTCCCATCATATATAGCGTTAACCGCAGCCTTGGCCACGTCTACAACCTACAGTATACCAATAGACGAACTTAGTGATACTGGCAAAACTAAATCAAAAATAATTTTATTCGCTGGGACTATGGGACTATGAACTATGTTGTCCTTTTCATCTCAATAACGAAACTCCAAAAGAAATAATGTCTTTCACAACCATCCAATCTAATATTTACAGTAGCGTGGCCAGCCTGACTATTTGTCTCGCTATGCTAACATTTTGGTGTTTATTCACTTTGAAAATAATAAAATTTCTAAGCAAATGAATAATTATAAAAACTCGAAATTTACATAGCGGGACAAAATCGTCAGGCTGGCTACCCCACTGAATATCTAAGGTCCCTCCTAGCCAGAGTTTTGCTCACTTCAATATAAGATTTAAGACATAACCTTCAATATACCATAATATTATATTAAACTTACTGCATTATAATTGTTCATATATTTCGCTAGCTCTGATTGGCTAGCGCAAGGAAAAGATAAGGAACTAATCTATACAGTACATGCTGGTGATCTTTAAAATACTTACAAAGACCGGTCTCTTTCTGGTGTTCATTCCACCATCAATCAAAGGTATACCCAAAGGAATATTGCGGAAATCTGAAAAGGCAAAATATTATCGTCAGATGGCGTACGCAAACTGTATTTGACAACTAGTTTCAGTTCTTTCCCGCCATTTCAGATAGTCGGTTGCTAAAGCCCTCTAATGCCTAATGGAACATACATGAATAGTAGTTGAAAAACTTGTCTTCGTGGCCGTAAATATCAGATGGTCGTAATATTATTGCGTCAGGGAATTCTTCTCTAAGGGCCTTTTCCCCGCGAGCCTAAAAAACAAATATTAATAGTTATGCTTGCTGTGTTAATATAGTATTTTGAGAAGGTGTTGGAGTGGGCGCCCATAAAGCGAGTTCTGTTGAACTTGGATTTGAACGGAAATTAACCAATAGTTATTCACGATGCAATTCCGAACAGTTAGCATACATGTACCGTACCACCACTGGTCGACAAATTAAGGTGGAGAAAAGCATAGATAAGAGCAAATCTAGCAATAGCCAAATAGACTTTTTAGCTTTCAAGCACGCAATGCGTGACGGTAGTTGATTATCAAGACCAATTTAAGTTGCCATGTTCAGGAGCGATTTAGTTTAAGAAAGAAGCAAAAAGAATAGGCAAAGTTTTCTTACAAACAAAATCGCTTCTAAGCAGAACAATATCGCAACTCAAAGTTGTTTGATAATCAACTACCGTCACGCATTGCGCACTCGAAAGCTAAAAGGGGAAAGGTCTGTCTGAACAGGCAGCTAAATGCAAATTTAGAATTTGTCAACGCTGATTTTTTGCAAAGATACTAAAAAATATTCAAGGTTCTACAACCGACGTTCTCATTTTATTTGCGCGTTCCACAAAAAACGCGTTCCACAATAACGCGCATTCTCTCAATTTCTCATTGGAAAATTCCGAGAACTACTGTACAGCCCAGCTCATAATACTAATTAGAAACGCGTGTCAAACTAAGCACTCGTCTAGTAATTCACTGCACGTGCAAGATTTAATAGTTTAAACTCGAAGTTCATCTGGATTCATGAGCGCATTTTACACTACACTCAATTTATTGACACCGTATGGCTAAAATGGTTACATGACTTATTGTACCTATTTCATTTGTGCCCGGCCTTTGTTTTGGTAGCCTGAACACTAACAATAAATCGAGTGTAGTGTAAATGGGTCTATAATTGACTGTATAGGCTTCCGGACATTGTTACACCAATCACAAGCAAATTTTGTACATACGCACAGTACTTCACATGCTACATTACAATTGATTTAGGCGGCAGAGCAATTCTGAAGAGAAACCAAATACCTTGGATTGCAAAAAGTGCGATAGCGAATCTTCACTGGCATTCAACGCAGAAACGTGAATTAAACGCTGAACTCCAGCTTGTTTCGCAGCACGAGCGATGGTTCTGGCTCCTTCAACATGACATTCATCAAATGAAAAGTTCCTGTAATAAGTTAAAAAATGTAGATCGCGCTTTCACTTCAAAATGGTGTAAAATTATCCTGTTTTGGCCTTGCGTTTACACGATAACAGCAGAAAACGAAGGACGTTTTTGCTATTAAAACGCTTCTGCTGTTAGGCCAATTTAAACTTTCTATAGCAGGGATAGTCAGAATAGGAGTGTTTAATAACAAATCCTAAATTTTAAAGGATTTGCCAAAGATATTTGAGGGAAGTAATAATTAACTATTATTCAGCGATATTCACCGAATAATTGCTTTAGTATAAGGTGATTATTTGAAAAAGTAATATGTTGTAGAAAATAAATTTTTACAAACGTGAAAAATATCACTACGATCTTTACGACGATATTGAAGGCATAAAACGCTAAATAAGAAGTTCTTAGCTACAACGTGGGTTTTTACCTCGAAATAACTTTAGGCTATTTTTTACTTATTTCGTTGTTTTAGGTACAACAACTTCTTAAACATTTCGGATTTCTCCGCGGCCATTTTAAAAAATATGCTCAATTACGGCGCGTAATAAGTGGCAGCGCCTCTAAACAAAGCTTATAGCATTTTGGTCGGCTACGACTTCTCAAATTGTGGCAAACAACTAAGCAAGCGCAGCAAAATTATTTACCGACGTTTACCGGCCAACGTCGCATTTAGCCGAACACTTTGCCATTGAAATTGGACGTGTAGCACAACCGCACCCCCCCCCCGGCACGCTACTCCACTGTGTACAGTACTTGCAGGGTGATGTTTCTGAGACTTATAAGCAGGCACCAAGAAAGACAGTAAATATTCAGCCACCCGTGGTGCGTAAATCCCAGACATACAGTACCTACTGTAACATAGAATGGGGGGAAAATCGTATACGACCTAAATCAAGACTTGTCTAATGTTGCAACAGTAGAGGTGGAGCCAACCCTGGTTTGATAATGTAGCTAATATTAATAATACACATACAATACAAAATTAAAATGACAGTATATGTACTGAACCTGGTGGGAAAGTTCTTTCCAATAAGATTGATGACGACATTTGAATGTTTCATCATGTCAGCTACACTGTTAGTATCTTGTAAATGATATTCCTGGAAATCATATTACAGATAATTTTAGGGGTTTTATTTTCCATGATATTAATTTAAGCACATGCCTCAATGTTTGGGCATTTACAGCCTCAATCAAGATGCTTCCAGTTGATCTGAACTTAGTGCAGTCAATAAAAAGATGTATGAACACCATTGTTTTTTAATTAAAAAAATCATTGAGTGTAACCTCATTCCCAGGGGTTTATAGAGTTAGTAATGAGGGGTGGGGACACAATAGGACCTGTAGGCATTAGCATCAATAACATTGATGAGAAAACTTGCATTTTCTGTCAATTTTGATTTTTCAAACATATATATGGCAAGTTCTCATGGAAGACCTGAGGCCCTTAGATTTAACTTGCTTTCTTTTTGGGTTTAAATTTTACTTTTAAACAATTAAAATAAAATTCTTGCAAGCACATTATAAATATCTTACTTACAAAGAACAACAGCTGACCAAGATCACCCATAACTTTCAGTTGGTTATAATCATATTCATTTCCTCTATATGGGATAACAACTTGACTGCCAACACGACCTGCATATCAAAAATAATAATCACACGTGCATGCTTGTGTTAATTTCAAATTAAGAAAAAAATTCTAGCATAGCAGAAGGGATGAAAATTCGCAAGCTCGCTGCAAGTGTTTGGCAACCATTGACGTTGGACGCAGAAATTTCTTCCAGTGAACTTGTGAGTTAGATTTTTGCAATTAGTGAAATTTTGCCTGTATAGTGAAATTAAAAAGCAGGTTATACCTAATGATACTCATAAGTTTAGGGAGGTTTGTGCTCAGAAAGACCTCATTTTTTCAAGTAACCAGGTGATTGCAAATACTGATTAATTTACTGTAGCTTCATCTATTTCACAAGACTATTTTTATACATCAAAATTGTTGTAATTCAATTATACTGTAAGTTTGAATTTGCTGTTATTTGATATGTCAGAATGCACAGTAACGTAACATTAAATTAACAATATTATTATATGTATGTACATCATTTGGGATTCCTCACTTCAGCAAATCACAGAGTACACTACAGTAGCATAAGGTGATAAAAGAAGTTGATATGCAGAATGAATTGGAATGATCATAATGAATGGTACCCGAATAGCAAATATTGTCATTAATCATTTTAAATCCTAAATACAGAATTGTTAATATAAACTAACCCAATCTGTTAACAACATATCTTCCCAAGAATCCAGTGGCTCCAAAGACAGTTGCTACCACACCACTAAATGATGAACGTCCCCCTTTGCCAACTTTTGGCTCATAGCTTGAGTAATTCTGTCAAATGTCATATTACAATTTTGTTATGAAATCAGACTGCAGAGTGGTGAAGGGTGAAAGAAGACATGAGAGGTAAGAGGAGGCAAATACTGCAATTGATTAGAGATGATAAATGGAGTGCCAATTAACAGCGAAGGTATTTTTGATTAATTTTACACTTAAACAATGTCTCTGACCGACTCCTACTTAACTCTTACACTCTCACTCTACAATTATACAGGCATACAAAGAGCAAATAGACAGAATCTCTGACAAGAGTGATTTTCGAATTCTGGTTCTGGGGAGGGGAGAACACCTTGAGTGTGGTATTGTCCCACTTTCCAGTCTGGTTATGAAATATAGCTGGTGTTCCACGATGCTCTTTAAAGAAAGAAACTTTTATGCCTCAATGGAAAAAGTAAGTTCAGCAAAAATAGTAAGTAAATCGATACGCAACTTTTCATTTAAGTTTATTAAATTTAAACACCAGTGTCTATATCACTATATGTAAATAGGTTTACCCTGCTTTGCACATACTGAATCAGTATGGGCCAATTATAAATGACTTGGAGCTGCCTCAATAACAAATCATTTAAACATATACTTTAAAACACAATATAATATAAACACCTTCTTTTGATTGGAAATTGAGCACACACTGCATCGACCTTGAACAGTCCACACTAAAATGAAGTGGAAGGAATCGTTCTTTAAAAATTACAACCAAAAGCACACCGATTTCACTGCACAACAAATAGCCAGTTACAACCATATACGAAAAATGAGTAATGACGGGAAATTTCTAGCGAACACACCTGAAAATATACCAGAAGGTTTTGCCAAAATTAACCTTCGAGTCGCCATCTTTCATGTTGAACACATCTCGACCCAGGCTCATTTGTTTAAAACACGGACTTGGCAATCTCTGGCGAGGAAACTACCAAACGAATTAAAATACCAAACAAAGGCGCTGGGATAATCCACAGGATAATCGAAATCAGAAATGATTCTGATTGGACGTTCATGTACGCCGTTGGTATGTTGTAATGCCATTCATACGGTTTGGATTATCCCTGTTCCCAGAGCCTTTATTTGATCGCAAGAGGAAATCGCGGGTTTATTAGTAAACGAGATTGACCGAGATTGACCCACGGAGGCGATACACTCTAGAGAACGTGGTATAATATGCTCGGTTTGATATCTATTTCGAAAGCCTTGTTTCATATGCCAATCTCATGATAAATTCAAATACATATATCAAAATATCAACGCAAAATATTGCACGAAACAAGTAGATACAAAATTGTAATTTGAAAAGATCAAGAAAAACAAGAAAAAATGAATTGAAGTTTACAAAAAAAAATGCTGATTGTGTTATAATTTCTTAAAGGCAACTTGGACTTATTGTCTAATCAATGGTTTCAAAGAAAATTCAGTTGTTCCGGCCCATTTGTTTTCAGTTGATCTGAGACGCCAATACTTGGCAGTGATTGGCTGAGGCAAGTCGTAAAAGATCATCTCAGCATTTTGCACAGGTGCAGGAACAGTTCGTGCCTAGGAAAAGGAAAGAACGTACATTATTTTATGTATTAATTAGTTAAAAAGATAGAATCAGCCTTTCTCAAATTTTCTAGTTTTTTCTGTCTGCCATTAGCGCCGTATTTTAGCCAAAAAATTAAAAATGGGTGAAAATTCTTACTTTTACGTTTGTAATTTAGCTCAAGTCTCACCGGTTGTGAATTTACAAGTTCCGAAATAATGCAGCAGAATATAGTAGCTTCGTGTATATTATAATATTCCTCCTTATGAATGGTCCGAATATTCCTCATTCAACGAAAGAACCGCCTTATTTTCTCTTCAAACAAAGTAAAACCACTACCTTTAACCAACTTTTGCCATCGAAAGAATATTCCAAGTCCAGGTCCGCGTATTCTGGCCTCACATCATGACCCCAAGATGATATGAAACCTCCAGCTACTGTTAATGACGTGACGTAAACAGGGCGAATATAAGTTGCTTGAATATAGTTCCCAGCATTTTCTGACTCGCTGCCCCAACCACCGGTTTCTGATCTGCCGTCAGTTAGAACACGTGATGTAACGTGATAGCGATTGTTGTAGTAACCACTCTGGGACACGAAGTAGCCATTAAGTGTGTATATCTCCATTTCCTGTTCCATCTAAAACAAACAATATTACCATAATTATACGGAATATACTCATAGTTTATACTGGCAACAAACTCTTCTGGATTTGAAGACAGTGAAGACATAAGTGTACGCCCCCCCCCACCCTACCGCCCCAAAGTTGGGCTAAGGCCATTTTTGGAAAGTGTGCGAAGTTGCTTGAAGACGCCGCCACGCTGCTTCTTAGCTATATCGGAATTTATCTACATTATTCAGTACTTGACGATACAAAAAAATTCGGATAGGGAAATACAGAACCTACGTTCTATCTTTCTGATAATCATTTTACCTTAGCGCCGGCCTTTCCTTTACTTCCTTTATAACCCTCAAAAATAAATATCGATGTTAACCAAAAAAGAAATTTTCTTTCAGTATGTTACCCAATACGTAAACCTTCTTTACCTTATCACCTTTTCTTCCCTTTTGTCCTCTGTCCCCCTATTATGATGATTTGGGTTGAAAACATTAGATTCAGTAACATTCACACATAATATTCCATGATTTTATACAAAAATTGCCGTATAATTAAATCTGCACTGGAATAGAAAAAATTTCTGAGTAAAACTGGCATGCATGGCGCAAGCACGAAGCGTGCAAAACGCTAAACAAAACATTGAATTTTCACTACATCTAAAATGAAGAAGAAACAATGTTTTGTGAAACATGGACGTATGTTGCTTTTTGTAACATGTGCATGTGTGATAATAAATCAATAAATGTGGTCGTTTACGTATAATTATATTGCTAAATATGCAAGAAAATTAGGATAATGTGCGGTTTAAGGGTACGGTAACCGTTTATGACTTGTTCATTGCAATCCGTTATTTCCGTATGTTTTTTGTTGAATTTTCTTTGCATGATTATAATAGTTGCTCTATACCTGAGGTCCAGGTGGACCAGACAAACCCCAGTCACCCTATAACGATTAGAAGACATATATTACTCGGTGATGAAAATAACACCATAATTTTTGTTAGCGTAATATTATTTTCTTAGCTATTTTGCGTATTATTATTTACCTGTATAGGCTATTGTGCGATATTTAAACAAAAACAGTTTATAAACAGAGGGTTGGTTCAATCCCTGGCATAATAGGCTATAGCTATTTATCTACTGGCTATATATTGAATGGTGCATATAATAAATAATAATGACAAATATTCTCAGTTGCGTAGCCAGCCTTACAATCTACAGGGTGTCTCAAAAAACCCAAAAAACTATTGAAATCACCCACAACAATGTAATTGTTAGAGTTTGAATGCTCAAGCACTTTGTTGGGATGTTACCACAATAAACACACGCGTTACGCAGTCAGCTGTGCCATTTTTTTTCGAAGCAATAACAAGGCTAATTCAAATCCAAACGTATTCACAATTTCAAATTTTTTGTATTTAGGATTTTATAAGTTGCATTAAATCCGCATGGGCTAAAATTCGTGAAGACGGCATTCAAATTTTAACAATGAGTGATTTCAATAGTGACACCCTGTAGTCATCTATGCTAATATTTTGGTGTTCATTGACTGTGAAAACAATGAATTTCTAAAGAAATGATTAATTCTGCTGACTTGTAATTTGCATAGCAGGACCAAATTGTCAGGCTGGCTACGCGACTGATTATTCTTCTTGAAAAAGAATTATCGAATACGGTAATGGATTACTGGATGATTGTTAATGTGAAACAATTTTTTAACCTAACTCGCATGTTTACTATAAGCTTACCATTTCACCAGTCAAACCGTCCCTACCGTTAACACCTGGCACTCCCTGGAAATAAGGAGAAAAAAATATCAAACATTTCTTTCGCTATTTAGTCAAGTTTTTTAATTGAAAAACCAAATTCATTTGCTTCTCGAGCTAACAGAAAATTTATCCACAACTTTTAATGTAAAAAATGTAATTTAATAAAAACTAATAGTCTATAGCTATTAGATTTTTGGTGTAATAAATTCTTCTTCGTCACTCCTGAGCAAAACTGTCCGCCATTTTGTTTTTGCATAGAAGTTGTCTTATAGGTGGCATGATGACAGGCAACATAATCACTTTCGTTGAGATTGCGTAGAAAATCGCTTTTAAGTAACAGTAATGAATGAGTCGAGCATATAAAAAGACCAAAAGGTATATGAAAAAAGCTTGATTGGAAGGGGATGTATATTTATGTATTCTTGTTTATCTTGTAGATGAAATGATAGCAGGCAACATAGTCAGTTTCGTTGACATTTCGTAGAAAATCGCTTTTAAATAACAGTAATGCATGCGTCGAGTATATAAAAAGACCAAAAAGTATATGAAAAAAGCTTGATTGGGAGGGGATGTGTATTCATGTATTCTTGTTTAAATAAGAGTAAAGAAAATCGCAAAAGAAATAATTCTGGCATTAGCTGAAATTATGAATTGAAATAATTCGCATCAGAGCGATCATACTCATGAATCATTTAATGCACATGCGGTGTCGAGTTATTACATTATTGAGCAAAAACCGTTTATCAAAACAAACCGGTTCACCAGGATCTCCTTTCATTCCCTGAAAAAAATAGAAAAACAGTATTTAAAAATTATGAAGGTATTAATTTGCAAGTAAAATTTAGCTTGAATCGCGATCGCTTAAAATAAATTGTAAAAATCAGGTATGAAATCCTTCAACCCATTCCTCCAATCTTGCTTAAAAAAATCTTCCAAAAAAATTCATCAATCGAATTAACGAATAAGTTTTCAATAATGGCCTTTTTAATAACTTCACCTCACTACAAGTGACCTTGTATTAATACTATCAATTAAAAATGACTGCTTGCTTTGAATTGCTTTAATCATAGTCTAATTATGAGACTAAACCAGCTGAGAGCAAACCAGTCCGGGCAAATTTAAGTGGTATTGGGACATCAGTGCTTGGATTACAAATCTGACGTTTGTTCACCTATCATAATTTGAAACTTTTTGAGTCTAACTAAACTTTGAACCAATCATTTCTAGCATGGTATTTTGCAAATGGAGCTTTTACAAACAGTTTTTTTATTAATTTTATTGAATGTTAATTATATATAAAAGTATAAGAATTTTTTCCAAATTTTAGAGAGAAACTTCGGTACATATACAGAGTATCCCCGAAAAATGCATCCCCTCTTGAAATGAAGGTTTTGTTCGAATTGGAATACATTATTAGGTTACGCACGTGTGCGTAAATAGTGCATGCACATTGTAGGTTCAGGGTCGTAGCTAGAAGCCTCATTGGGGGGGGGGGGGGGGGCGAATATTCATATTTTCGTTTTTAACGCCGGAATGATTTCTTTTGTATGCTATTGTTCCCATGGTATACAAACATGAATATATGAATATACACCCCCTTAATTAAGCGGTCTAGCTACGGCCCTGTGTAGGTTTATAGGAGTTACATTCCTGAGGTATTAATTCAATTTAGGCTTTAACTTTTTCTCATCCTTGGTTTTTATATAGCAGTTACAAAAAAATTGGACAAAAGCTCGATTGAGCACTATTTTTTAGCAGAATAATGATTGTAGTAACTAATCAATAATAGCGGTCTATTTAGGTGCATGATAGGAGAATTTACGGGAACAATAGCATTATTTAGGAGGTAATAGGAGTATTTAGGGGAACAATAGCAGTATTTACGAGGTAAAAGAGGTATTTAGGACTATAATAGGAGTATTTAGGATGACTATATATCCTACCTTCATACCATCGTATCCCGGTG